TCGCGTTGCTGAGCCCTGCGTCCTTTCGGGCGAAGACTTTGGCTCAAAGCCTTCAAGGCGTGACAGTCCTTGGGCTGGGTTTTGGTTTTGCCTTGCCATGGCGACCGGAAAAGCAAGTGGGTTCCCTCCACATTCTTTCACGGCAAGGAATGGTTCAAAAGGAGTCCCATCACCGCTTTTTTGGACCGATAGGTTGAGTCCGAGAGATCTTTTCGGCGTTGTTTTGTGGATGCCCAAGGGTGTCTCGGATTGGCCTACCGCTCACTGAGAAGGCGGTTTGGTGGCACCTTCGATTCGACCCACTCTTCTTGTGCCAAGTCCACTTGGCGTGCAGGGACCTGAAAAAAGAGACCACGCCTTTTAAACATAAAGAAACAACTCCAAAGAACGAACCACGAACCTGAAAATAAAGAGACCACCTACCTGAAGAACGTGGTGATTTTGGTTCCAAAAAAACACCTCTGGCCTCACTACGGCGCCGCGGCAGACACCTACGGCTTTGAAGTGGTGGATCCCTTGGCCCTACTGCAGCGGGCCTTGGCTCAGCCACCCATGCCAGAAGAGTTGTCGGAGGAGGCACCGGGGGGGGGCGAGAACATCCATGGAATTGGAGGATATTATTTTAAAGCAAACAACAACGACCAAACGGTGGAACACACTTTTTGCTTCGCCCCTCTGTTCTATTTTTTGGTTTGTCTAGGGTGGTGAGCCGCTGCCGCTGGACACCGAGCCATGGCTTTATGCTGCAGAGTACCAAGAGCTTCGACAAGGAACGTTCCATGGCATCATGCGTGGATTCGAGAATTTATTCTGGAGACCTGATTGAGCCGAACTCTCGGAGATTGGTAATCAGCTGATCCGGTTCTCTTCTTCATCCGGACGAATTTCCAAGCCAATTCATCCGTTGTTCCTCAAGTGGATCCGGTTCAGGCGCTTTTTGGCATCCTTGTTGATCGATTTTGTACAGGCAGGACGGTCTCGAACACGACGTTGCTGCGGCTCATTGCCTGGCAACTGGACATCCAGAAGAACCTGACCTTGATCCAAAAACAGGTGCGAAGATGGGAGGGTGGTCAGAATTGAACTTCTCTCAATTCTGACCAGCTGGGGTTGGTGTATTGGTGAAGTGAAAAGGGTTGCAGAAGTTGGAGCGCCCAGCAAGAGTTGAACCTAGGTCCTATTGGAGATGTATGATATGCATGTCTTCACCCTTCCGTGTTTTGTTTGCCTTCACAGCCCCACTCCTGCAAGATGCAGGCGATGATACCATGGATTGTCAGCACCCTTTGTCATTGTGTCCATCCAACTTCACACACGAGGTCTTGCACCTGATCTTTTTCAGGTTGCTATCCACATGGGAATATCAAGGACCTTCTTAGAAGGGAGCAACTCCATCAGGTGTGACTCCTCCTTGCACCTCTTGAGACTCATCTCTAAGGCGGAGGCATTGGAAGAGGCCAAGAAGGTCCTCGAGGCAAAGATGCCTTGGCTTTTGATGTTCTGTTCATACCGAGAGCAGTCGTGCATGTTGCAACATCTTGTGCTCTGCTGACAGCTTGTGGTTTAGACTTTTTTCAATGACCGCTTACTTTAGACATGAAATGCCACATGGAAAAGGGTGCACATGTTTTTAACCAGTGATATTTGGAACACCATTTCTTCCTTTTGTGTTTCAACTTGAAAAGCGTGGTCGTTTGACATGGCTGGTTTCTGACTCGCTGAACTCGTTTGCCGAAGCACAACGGCAGGAAGCACAGGCTGCGGGCTCCGAGCCGCCCGAAGGGCTCACTTTGGATGACGAAGGTGTGGCAACACGAATGACTAAAGTATCGACCGAAGCGCCATTTGGGACTGTATTATAATAGGGGCCCCCTCTATTTCCCTTCTTCCAGGGGGTCTTTGGGAGGTCTCCCTATTTTAATACAGACCCATTGCGTTGCCAACCAGTACCGGTACGCTCCCTTTGCGTGGTCTCGTCACTCGCCAGCCATTGGTGGGTGCAGCCACTGGCAGCCCCTCTTCAATCCCCCTTTTTCCCCCAAGCAGGTTTACCTCGTGAGGGGTTATTACACTCCCTACGACAATCATGGAAGTGGCCAATGGCCCTTGGAAAGACGGACCATTTTTCCTGATCACAAACAGGGGGTTGTCCACTTCCATGATTATTGCAGGGACAGTTCTTTGAAAGGGTGCAACCTTGCTGGTGGTAGGGTCTTCTCCGTGAAAATCTCCGTCTATAGCTATAGTTGTCTCCAGTTGATGCTGGGTCGCTTGGGTCGACTTCTCTCCTAAGCTTTTCTCCAGCTCAGCTTTCTGAAGGGCGTGCTGGGTCAAGACAGGTTGCGCGATGTTTTGTGGGTGTCTTCGGCCGTCTTCGTTTGCATAGGACACCAGGCTTTGAGGTTGGTGTGATATGAGACTCCTCTAGTGGCATTTGTTCAGCACAAGAGCCTAGACTGACCTTTGTGCCGAGGGCAAAAAAAAGGACCGATTCTCTTTCACGCCTTCCTTTTCCTCCTTTTCCTGTTTGGGGACTACGCTGTAGGCAGCAGTTTGCTCAATCCTTGCTAGGACAGCCCGTTGTGCCTTTGGAAGAGCCTTTGGCAAAGCCTTCAAAGGGCTTTGTGCTGCAGGCCCTTGCGTGGGAAGCAACTCACGAAGCTGGACGGGATGGGGTTGGATTGGCTTCAGATGCATCTATATAAAGAGATGAGATCCGGATACTCGTGCAGCCTTTTCAGGAAAACTGGTCTATTTGTATGAAGCGGTGTTCGGAAAGCCAGGCCTTTCCCGAGTCTGCGGAGCAACTGGAGCTCATGAAGCAAAAGTTGGGCCTGGTTGTTGACCAGGTGGGGAGGTCAGCTTAGCGAAGGGCTGGATTCTCCTTTTGGGTGGCTCGGACTGTTGCACCTTTGCTGCTGGCCCACCACGCAAGGTCCTGTTGCTAAAACCTCTGGGAGAAGAAGCTCCAGAGACTATTGAGATTTTGCAGAAGAATGGCCAGGGCCTGTGTTTCCCGCTGGAGAAGAGAGTTTCATTGGTCTTTGGTTGCTGAAACTATGTATGTGGTTGAGAAGACAATTCACAAGAACGTTGACAATGGCATCCTGCTTATGTCCCGTGTCCTTAGACACGTGTGCCAGATAGCGATAGACATAGCCACGGAATCCATGCAATTACCATGTTCTATACTTGCTGAACATCCATCTGGAGAAAAGAGGTGAAACGATCATCTTCTCCCTTTTTCTGGACCCTGTTGATCTTTATCCATCCAGACACCTGCAGTCTGGACACACATCCAAGGCCTTGGGGAGGCGGAGCCATTGCAACCCATTTTGGACGTGCAGTTGGCTGCCTTCGAGGCCATCCCACCCTGCCGAAGGGGTCGTCTAGCAGTCTAGCATGTTCTTTTGTCCGTCTTTTTGTCTGACATGCTTCCCATCAGTGGGAATTTTCTTTATGGCTACGTGAACAGTTCAGATGTTTTGGACACCGCGATCGAAAGTGAATCCATGAGAATCCCTGTCCGCTGGACACCATGAATCGATCGAATGGACATGGGACATTCTTTGTTCTCAATTCACCTGCTGATGTGCGCGGTTTTCTGTCAGGGCTTGACCGCGGTCGAGGGCTTGAAGCTGTCAGAAGTAGCACTTGAGGTCTCAGAGGAGGGGCCATCTTTTCAGGTTGTTTGGAGGAAGCAGAGAAGACTGTCACATCGGTCGCGGATTTGTTGGAGCGGCTGAAGGGTGTGAATGAGCTAGGCAGCTAGGAGTCCATGGACTCCTGCGTTGGACGAATGGCTCTTGTTTTGGCGTGCTGGGGCCCTCAGCATATCTTGACAGGAGGAGCAGTTCGTGCAGATTCGCAAGCACATCGATCCCTTCTATGAGGTTGTCGAGGTGCGCGAACCGCACCCATCTTTCAATCGTTACCATCTTTTCTTCACTGGACAACATTAGTTGTATCATTGCGTGACATTGCATACAGCACATACCATTGCCAACAGTCTGGAGTCAAACAACAGTTCAAACATATCCTAAGAATCAACGATGTCCTTTTGATACCATGTACCTGGTTGTACACTTCGGGGTATCTCATCTATCAATCAATCAACGCCGCAAAAGGCCATTTATGCTGAGAGTCTGACAGTCCCTTTTTAGTGTCCGGGGCTACATGCCAGGCAGAGGCCATGGCCGCTGAGATCCCAGACCCCGACGAATGGACCCCCCCAGAGGAGGCCTCCACCAGAGGGAAACGCGGGCGTTCGCGTTTCGAAGGAATTTTCCGTGGAAAGAGTTCTGGTGAGGTTCTTGAATGTTCTTTTTTGGTCTTTAATGTTTTCAGGCTTTTTTACCGTTTTCCTGAACAGGTTTTGTTTACCCTGGTCTGAATCTTTGATAGGTTATAAGGCAACAACAAGGGTGTGAAGCATCTCCAACGACTATTTGGCAAGATATCCATCCAACTTGAAGATCTGAAATGACATTAGATTCATTTTGGATGTATTTAGATTGACAAATAGCTTGGAGGCCATGGCGTAGGTAGGTTGCGAGGCCATCGCGTTGGATCTGCAGGACCCGGAGGATCCACCAGCCGAGCCGGAGGAGCGGCCCGTGATCCCTTGGGGAACTTGTGGACCGTACTGCTGGGCGCCAAGCACTGGTCCAGTGAAGCATCCTTTCCTGTCCAAAGGCACATCGGTCACATCCTTCATGACCAGGGCCCTTGAAGTTGGGTGTTTGGGAGTTTGGTTCAAGTCTCGGCGCGGACCTCAGGTCCGGTGACCCTCAAGGAGCAAAGTGCGGACCCTGGTAGTGCTTTGACGCTCGCGCAGATAGTTCTGCGCAGGAGTTCTGTGGGCGGCAACTCCGCCTCAGACGGGCAAGTGGTTTTCTTGCTAGACCAAGATGGCTTGAGATATTTGGGTAAACTTTAGACACCAACCAGCGAGGTTGGCTCTATCCTGGCCAGAAGGAGAAGCTCCGGGTCTGGGGTGTGACGAGTTGTGGACGTCCTTACATACTGGGCGCGCCTTTCAAACCTTTTGAAGCCAGGAGCGTCTCTTTTTGCTTCTGCTTTCTTAATCTGGCTGCACCATCGATCCGACAAAAGTCATGTAAGACATTTGCTGCAACCACGTCCATCGAACCTGTAGACGTTGCTAGACTGTTCGGATAGCGGACACATGGAATGATCATGGGCCGTCCAAGCTGTTGCAGCCGTACCTTTCAAACAGGCACTTGGCTTTTATGAGGCAAACAAGGCGAACCCTGCAAAGCATGGTTCTAGCGTCTCTAGGATAACTGCAAATGAACGAGGCATATTGGTCAACCAATGGAAGATGGCCTGTAAAGCAGGAGTCCAAACCCACACTGTCCGAACCAACAGCAGAATCAAGACTGTGCAATTTGTCCAAGAGTTACATGGTGCAATGACTGCTGGAAAGACGGAGAGCCAAGAGCTATCTGGTGTAGCCCAACGGCTTGCCTCATTTGCAGCGGGTTGCTTGGGCACCAGCACCCCAGCTCACACAGGCTCCCGTTTGGGTATCATGGGCAACGTCTCAGAGGCAGAGCTGAAGGAGGTCCTTCACCACATTGAGGTGCTCTCGAAACAACGTGCTTCAGCTGCTGCCGGGCGGCCAGTGCAAGGCAACCAGCCGGCCTTGACTTCATTTGGCTACCCCGCAACTTCGAACAGTTCGTTTCAGCAAGCTTTTAAGGAGGCATGTGGAGTTGATGCAGATCATATCCATTTGCACTTGCCAAGAGATGCCAGGGGCCAAGTGGACCTCCTCAGGATTTTCAGTCTGGAAGATGGGAAGGGAACACATTTGGAGAGCTGTGAAGCTTTGGCTGAATTCGTCGATGATCCCTCAGAGCTTCCGTTCTGTGATGAGCCATCCCTAGTAGAGCGCGAGGCAGATGAGGCACATTGGCTGCAAGACGCAATTGCCATCAATGGTTTGCGATCGGCGGTCTTTCACAACGTGACACTCGTTGAAGCACCCGATCTTCAGGCACTTTCGAGACGTTGCAGGAGCAGGCGGCCAGCCCTTTGCAAGACGGCATTGAGAGCGATGGCAGAGCTTGCCAAGAAAGGTGTTCAGTGTGATTGGATTTCTGCTGCGGCAGAGGTAGTAGCTGCTTGCTTAGCCGCTATGCAGCTGACCAAGGTCACGGCCAAAATGGGGGAGGAGACACTGGATGCTGTTTGTGGCAGGCTCCGAGAAGATGCATCTGTGACCGTCACCCTGCACGTCTTGACCAGTTTGAACTGCCCAGAGCTGAAGCACCCCACCTGTGTCGCAGCGCTGTTGAGGGTTTCAAGCACTTCGTTGAGCTCTCTGGGTGAGACGGAGGCTTTAACAGCCCAAGCTGCTGAAGAGATTTCAGGCTTCTGTGAGGAGGTTCTGAAGAATCGTCGCTTGTCGCCCGCCTTTTCGGAGGCCCGGGCGCTACAGCGCCAAGTGGCGAAGGTACAGAATGTGCCTTGAGTCATGGACAATTGAGCTTGAAGGGGAAACTTGTGCAAGAAAGAGGATGAATGGATGGGCGGGTGGGTTTTATAGGGACCTGGCGGATGAGTCTTGCATGTGTTCGTGTGACATGTGCATTTTTTTTGGATTTGCAGCTGTGGAATGATTGTGCAGGAGTTCCAGCATGTCTATCGAAACTTGGTGTTTGCAATGGCCAACGAGAAGGCCAGCGAGGCATGGCTTCTGCCCAAGAGACATGCAGTCTAAGTTTCGCACATGGGTATTTCTGCTCGCTGAAGTGAGTACAGGCCTTTTTGCGTGAGCCCGTATCATATGTGACAGCTGAACCAGTCACAAACTCAGTTATCTGAATACAACAACAGCCTTGCCTTCACCAGTTTATGCTTCAGTTCCACAATGCCGGCATTTTTTCTGATCGCTTTGTTAGAACATTGGCATTCCTTCTTTTTGAAAAAGCTAGCTAAGAAGCTACTAGGGGCTCCTGGCATCGCTACTAGGAGCAAGGACGCTACTGGGGGCTCCTGGCCGTACTACTAGGAGCAAGTAGCTACTGGTAACAAGAAGCTACTAGGGGCTGCTCATGCTCACTGTCCTCCCCAAGGCTCTGCCTCCAGCACGGATTTTGGTGACGGGGCCCACTGGCTCGGGGGTGGCCAAGCAATGCGAGCTCTTGGGTGAGGCCTGGCGTGATTGGCTGAAATGAGTGAAGCACGCAGTGAATGAGGGCAATGCAGCAGTTTGGTTGCTAGAAATTGCAAGTCCGCGAACCAAGCTAAGTCCAGGGTTTGCCAGAGAGGAAGAGATAGTAACGTGGCCGGCAGAATTATATGTATGGCATGGCTGCCTGATTGTACAGAAAAAGAAACCTTGCTTCGGCTCGTTGCCTCAGCAGAAGTGTATTCACCTTTACCGCCCCTGGTAGGTCTACGAGATCCCAGTGCTGAAGCTTGAAGAGATCTGGAGGAGACAGCGAAGTCTTGATCTGGGAACACGAGACTGAGCAGTGCGAACATTCAGCAGATTGTCTCTCGTTCGTCGCTTTTTGGCTCCAATAAACATATAGTTATTTCATTATATAGTCCTATATAATTGAATAGGCTAAAAGCATCAGGTTTTAGGAGGTCTTGTGTACCTTTTGTCGGGCAAAATCACCATCACAGCATGGCCGTGCGCCTCTGATACCAAGGGCCACTGTTACAGAGTTACAGTTATAGATGACCAAAACATCTATATAAATGCACTTCTTTTTTGTGTACATTTAAATCATCAGTGGCATAGTGACACTTGGAATTTGGGAAACACGATTGAGTTGAGATCTCACAGTTTGTTGCCAGGAACAAGGTTGAGAAGCGCTTAACTGATGTCAAGCAGGCAATGGCTCCGGCTCAGTCCGAAGGACACACTGGGAGGGGCGTCCGGTGCCCTGCGTCCCCGGTCTTCCAGGCACGGAAGGCAGCTGCAAAGAAGGAGGCTCTGGAGCAGGGCATGATAGAGGAGCGACATGATGAGCAAGGGGAGCTTCGTTTCAGGATTTGAAAGGAATCAATATGTCGGCACACGAAAGCAAATGAAACTACATGTACATAAGTTACATAAGAGCCAAATCAATTCAGGGAGACGGCTTGCACTTATAAGTATGACATTCATTTCTTCAAGTCGAGCCGGCTTGCCAAAAATGGATCTGGCGGTGCTTCCGGAATCGACTGAAGTGTGCAGACATGTCCCGAAGTGTCCAGCCGACACTTCTGATAAGCTTCCACAGACTCCGTCATGGCGTGAGGATGATAAGCCGCTCTTTCCAGATGGCTGGATGCCGCCTCCTGAGGAGGTGTGACATTCGGAACTTCTGCGGTTGATGGCCTGACGCTACAACTGCAAAGATTGGAGATTTGCGAAGGACGATGATTGCGTACTTCGCATATCTTCGCATTGTGGACATGACGGCCAGGTGCCTGATGATGCCGAGGATGCCGAGGTCGCACGCTCGAAGTCATTTGCAGTGTCAGTCGATTTGGGTCTGTCTCCAAGCGAGGACCCCTAAGAAGCGGCTTTGAAAACCTACACTTCCTCTCCTGAAAAGTTCTTTGGTTGGGGGAGCCCCCCTGGAAAAAAGTGAAAGACATCCATTTCTTTCCACTATCAGTTGGCTCGTTCTGGGGCTTTTCCAGACACTTCTTCGACCGACTCAAGACGCTGCGCGAAGCGAGGATTTCTTCGATCCGCGCGCGAGGCACCAGCGGAAGAGCCTGAAGAAGATGGCCTGGACGATGAGCAACGAGAGGAGTGGAGTTGTCAAGGCTCTTCAGCCAGGCTCTTTTTCGCCGTTTTCATATGTAGACCAGTGGTCAAGGCAGATCACGACATGTTTCTCGGGACTTTGCCAGAAAAAAGTATTCTGATATGACTTATAATAATTCTCACCCCCTTTAAGTTCATGCAAATGACTGCAAATGACACATGCAGAATGAGTTACCCCTTACCAATATCATCAATTCCTTCTGCACAAAAAACCACAACAAACTCTGATTCAACTCTCCACCAGAAAAGGACATGCACAAGCACCCACAGTTTCGGTTGTGTTGGTTGAGGTAAAGATGGGATCATGGATAAAGCTCCACACGGCAGTTCTATCAGATGTTGTTGACCAAGAACTGTGCTAAAGCCTTTAAGTGCTACTGTGGTTTCAATCCACACCCAGGATGCTTGAAATACATACGAACCAATCTATTTGCTTGCTAACAGAAGTCTTGTCTTTTGGTCAGGAGCTCTTCATCATGGCCATGAAGGATGCTCTAGGGCCCCATTGCCTCCCGATTCGAATTGATCACCCTAGACGCCAGACACATTCCACGTGCAAAAACCGACTCCTGTCACAGACAGAAGCTTGGCATGCCAGACTCCTGCTCTGTAGAGGATCAGTGCATGATCTTGTGCACCGTTTTCCCCTCTCCATGCCTGAAACAGGTTCATCTCATTCCATGAGACCATTTCATCTGAGGTGGAGCTTGCATTCTGGACGGCACTTGGTTTGGAGATCTCAACGACGAGGACGTGGCTGATCAAACATCATGCAACCTAAAGATGTGCCGACTACGACCGTCATGTGCTACTGCCCATACCACTTTTCTGTCTTGCACATGCCTTGAGCACCTGAAGCCAGGGCTTGATGGTATTTCCTAGGAGTGCTTGTTATGTATACTGTATACTAAAATTGAACCTCAACCAAGAACCTTGATGTTTAGTTTCATCTACAGTATGTTTGTTGGGCTGTTGTGTTTTTCTTTCTTTTTTGGTGTGTGTGTGTGTTGCAGAATGGTTGGAGGGTTGGTCCAACGAGACAGGTTCAGGATGTTTGTCCTTGAATTGCAACCTTTGCAGCCACAATACGACATTCGCTTCAAGTTAGTTGTTCCTGAGTTACTTTGAAGAGCGCCCAAGAATATCGTCGAGTGCACAGGAAGGGGTTTCGATTCCCCAGGATTGATACGTGCAGAAGGGGCACCATGATGCTGGTGCTGTGGGGGTGTTGCTGTGGTGGTGCATGTGCTCGATGATTCGGCACGGAGCAGTGTAGAGAGAAATTTGACAGTCCATTCGGCCGTGAGGTTTCTCAGCTCTAAGCTGAGGCCCATAAGGTTGATTTTCCGGCCCACAGTATTATGAGGAGGGACATGTGTGCAGGAGATGCCGGAGGAGATGAAGACAGCCAGGTCTCTGCAAAACTTGCTCACCAAGGTGAGCAGGACGTCTTGTTATTGCTGCACAGCATCGTGGAATAGACTTGATGAATATGAGACTGTGACAGTAGATAGTGACATAGTGCGAAATGCCGGATGTAATGCCAGTGAAAAAGAAGTTGCATGATGTTATATGTTCGACTGTACAGAGGGACAAAGTGTGCCAATTCATTGCCATGTACTGTACATCGTGTCTATTCTGTATGAAGCAGAGCTGATTTGAGGAGCTCCAAGACAAAACCATTTGGCCCCCCATGTTTCACACATGCTTGAACTTGAGAGGCACAGCGCTTGCCCGACTTCACGGTGGTTTTGATGCTTGCTGCACGTCAAGACGCGGACATTCTTCGGTGCACTTCCTTGGTTCATTGGTTTTCTATTTGACGGTGTCACTAGTGCATGAAAGGCTCGTGATATCAACCCCAAATCTCAGCGTTGAGTGCAAGACGGTGACACAGTCTGTGACCCTAGGAAGTGCAAGAATGACTTTGCGGCCATTAACACCTTTGACTTTGCTGCCATTGACAGTGACTATGAGGCCAAGCATGGCCAAGCATGGCCGCAAGTGTATGACATGTGCGGTCCAGGGGCGCATGGCGGTCTGTGGTCAAGAATCCGGTCGGGTCCAATGGGAGCATGCCATGACCCACCTTCATCCAGTTCGTGAAAACCGCAAAGGGTTCACTAGTTCATTGGGCCCTGTCTTGACGGGTGGACGTAGCTTTCCAGGTGACTCAGTCGTACCCCAATCCGTGTTGGACGAATCAGTTGCAGACTGGAAGCTGTTTCAGGCCAAGCTGGCAGAGTACAAGGCACAAGTGGCAGCAGCAGAGGCGAAAAACAACTCAGCTGTGTCTGTGATGTCTCGTGCCGACTCACGAGGACACGGAGCCATGTCTGATGTCTCGAGCGGAGCCATGTCGCCATGTCTGTCTCACCCGTCGTAGGCGAAAGAAGAGGATCCACCCGAACCGCCAGAGGGTCTGGTCGTCGATGAAACGGAGGAAAAAGAATCTGATCGCGTGAAGGCGGGATCGCTCCCTGGCGGTGCAGAGGGTTTTCTTGATTTCGTGAACGTGGCACTCCGCTTCCTGACAGCAGCGAAATCTTTGCTGGTTTCATGGCCATAGCTCTTCGGCGACATGGTGTAGCATGGTGTAGCATTGGTGGGACGAATGAGCCATGCTTTCTGCCTCTCCAGGCACGTTTTCTGGAGACCAAGTCTGCACAGCAACAGGACTGAACCTGATGCTGAAGAGTTCACCATGTTGCAGTCATGTCCACTGCAGTCAAGTAAGG